ATTGCCGACTCGCAGGCCTCTACAAGTCGGGTCGCCCCGAGCTCTGTAGTTTTCTGCAGGGACGCTCCAAGCTCCGAGCGCACAGGACCTCCTGGAGAAACATCTGCGCCCTGACGCCTGCCACATTTAAATACATACACACCATGTCGAGAAGCTGTAAGATCCAGTTTCTAGCGGTCAGTACAGGCACGCACCGAAACTAGCCTAGAAAATCCAGCGTTTGATGCTGCAAACTCCCTTGCCTGGCACAGGTGCTGGGATCACTTCGAAGGCTGCAGGCGCAGGGCCGAGAGGGCGTCGAAACCTAGCCCACACCATCACCTGATCTTGCTACATCCACTGGAGAACGCTACAAGACCTGGATCAGACCAGTCGCCTGAAAACTTTCGTTAATCCTTGAAACAGATGCTCAAAGCAAAAATGCAACCCAAGGCATGCGCGTACTGCGCGCTTCCGTTTGTCGCCCGAGTGGGATGCCGTTTCTACATATACCTCCCAGGGAAAGTCCAGCGAATGCCGTTGTGCAGTTTGAGGCTGTCTCCTGGGCACTGGCACCATCGTCGTCACCGCCATGATCATCATCTTCACGGCCTTTATCCTTGCCATCCTCATTGGCTTCTTCATTATATTTCTCTGCCGCAGTTCTGCCTATCCTTGTCAGCCCTCTCCAGCTCAGCATAGCAATCATCACCATCATCATCAACACATCAGCACCAACATGTACCAACATCATCATCAACATCAACATGATCATCAACATCAACATCAGCATCAACAGCAACATCATCAGCAGAAGAAGCAGCAGCACGCCACCGTCAACATGGTTATCATCGGCTTCATCATTCGAAGGGCTCTTTCCATGATCCTCACCATCGCTGTCATAATTGCGGTCATTCGCTGAAGAAGGGGATGATCATAAAGCACGAAACATAGAATGGCGACAGAATGGCGATAATTCTGCGAATCAAAACAGAAGTCACTCGCAGCAAGACCTTGACAAAGCACAGGACAAGTGTTGCAGCACTTACTCGTACTCAGTACACATCAAAACCGTCAAATGTACCAAGCAAGATGAGGACAGGTTGACCGCAACTGCAAGATAAAGCTAGAGCATCAAGGGGCAAGATCATGCAAACCGAGAACAGCTATCGACACAAGAGCTGGAAGGGTAGCAAGCATGAGCCACAGGTATGCATAACCGTTCCAGCAAGACTCGCGCCGCAGAAATCCACGGCGAGTGCATCGCGGGAGATCACATCTGCGCCGCTGCTGGACTGCCGCACCTAGATGTTCACGAGGGTCCAGGGATTTCAGAGCGCGCGAGCCACATATCGGTAAAGACCTAAACAGGTCTAAGAGCTGCCTAAGGTTGCATGGCGCGAACCTCTCTGCAAGTTTGGATTCTGTCTTCTCGCCTAGCCATACCGCAGTGGCTTCAGGGCGAGATAGACTTTGCAGAAGGCGCTTGGGATGCTTCGAGTTTCTGCGTCTCAGTGCCCTGCGGAGACCAGCTTAGCGGTGGAAGAGCGAGACCGAGAACGAGCACACTCCCGATGCACCCAGAACTCTCGACACAAACGAGGCGAGGTTTCGAGCCGGGCTACAGCAGGGCAAATGTCCATTGACGACCTGCGTGCAAGAGAGGCTGGAACGCCGACACTGCTGGTCTTGCTACCAACTGACGAAGTGACTCACGATCTATTGTTACTTCCCGAGCGCACGAATTGAGCAGGAGTGGCGCCAGCCTCCCGGAAACCTCAACTACTGCAGTAGGGCCATCGGTTCAGAGGCCCAGCGATGGCACATCCGTGATGCAGGCTGCATGCCGGCGCACGCACTTGCTGGCTACATAGCGATCAGTCAAAAACTCTGACAGAGCAGCGATGTCAAGAGCATTTCTTCCAGGCATGCCCAATAGACTGTTGAGTTCTGACGAGGCAACCTACCGGTGGCTTTCCCAGTGTTCCGAGGGTTGGCTCAGAAGCCGTCTTTCTTTTTCGAGTGCCGGGGTTAAGAGATAGACAAAGACGTGAACACGATAGGACTGTGCATCAGCCAAGTCTTCTCTGCATCTACTACTGCAGTATGTCACCACACACGTCCATACTCGCAGGCACGGAGCTATCATCAAGAGTTCTTTCAACATGTCCGGGTGTGGCCGAACCTTTCCGCAGACAGCGGATAGAGAGGACAAAACTCGTGCTGATCGATTTCGACAACCATACAAGTAAACCCATCCATACAAATCGCCATAACGCATTAAGCCAGAAACGCACTGCAGCAATACATATCCGACGCGGGTAGCTTGTCATGAATATCAGCCCAAAATTTCGGGCGCCGTGTAAAGCCCTCAGTCGAGCATCAAGCCGCTTAGCGAGACACCGGCTCTTAATTTACAGTAGGACCACGACTTTTTCGACTTCGGACACCAGCTTGGCAAGCGACTTCGGAGACAAATGGCAGCAGCGCAGACTGCGCACCTCAGCAGCTGCGCAACAGTTGCTCGATCCCCACTGCATGCCAACCTGTCGCCGTCCTGACCCTAAGCTTTGTGGTACGCGGTAGTCGGGGCATGTATGCAGCCCTTCAGACCAAGAGACCCCAAGAAGAGGTCTAGCCGTTTCTTACGAATCGTTCAGGATGTGACGAGGATTGGCACGACGGAGAATGCAGTCGTGTTCTGCCCGTCATGCTGCCCAACTGCAACAGTTTGGTTGCAAACTTTAACGCCGACGTTCCTACGTGTGTCCAGGATACGAGACTGCAAATCGATGCAAGAGACCAGCCTGATCGTGCCGATGGGCAGATACACGACGCACGCAACAGTGCTGGATGCAGTCCATGAATCCGGATTTTGGGTTCCGGATCATGGGGATCAGAAAATACTCCCCGGAGACACAGCCGGAGGAACACGGAGGAACAGGTTGACTGTGAACGCAGCCATGTTGTAGAAGAGCTTCATGCAGCGATTCTTGGGCTCGTCGTGCATACATACGCGCAAGCATGAAGATCTGTGATTAACAGTTGTTGCTTCCCAGTGACCAGGAGCCTGGACCAGCTTCACAGTTATTTCGTGCAAACGGAACGTAACCGGTTTGACAGCACATAAACACATGTCTGCAAGACAGGTTTTTTCGACTTACGTATTACCACTCTCTTGTCCTGAATGTCGCGCAGCTGGCTGAAATGCACGACTGCATGCAGTGGGTCGCAAGTCTGTGCGTGATCCGGCCTTGCTACATTTTCACCGCCTGAGGAGGTATGGAAGCCCTCATAGAAGGCATTGGCACAACATGCACAACTCAAATTCAACAGAGAGTGTCTGGAGTCTGTCGGGTTGTTCATGAAGTCATTCTTGTGGCCATGGCTTCTCCTTCCCTGGTGGCATCTACCAGAGGTTCTCTGCCGTGCTGTCAGTCCAGTTACTGTGTAAGCTGTAAGCAGTAAGGGCTCCGGGTCGCGAAAGAAAATTGTCCCCTGCGCGAAGAAGCATTCAGCCGAATCTTGGGTGATGCATGACTATGTCTGACCATGACCCTTCAGAGCTGCGGATAGCTGCGGCAATTAGGGTGACAGCGTTAACAACACGGGCAAACCAATGTTTTAGCAGTTATGCCAATACATGCAAGTTAATTTAGAAGGCACACATTGCAAGTTAATTTAGAAGGCACACATTGTGATAGTCAGTGCATGGTTGTTGGCACAGGTTGGTTGAAGTATTAAGTTGAGTCTCAATTCAAACTAGTTGGTGCATTTGAGCTTAGTGTAGCCCTCAATGATGCTGCTTATAATTTTACATTGCCCGCGCTGGCTGGAACCACCGCCGGTAATTGCCCCACTCCCAGACCAGCCAATTGGGGCAAGTGGGGTAACTGGGGCAAGAGGCACATCTGCTGGGTTGGTTGGGTGCCACTTGCCCCTCTTGCATGAATAAATGGGCAATGGCGGGCCGGGGCAGGTGTGGGGCAGCTGGTGCAAATCAGTCAACGGTTCTAGCCGGTCAACTGGAGCGACTGGGTCAAAATCCAGTGTAGTTCAACCAGAATGAGGGACCTGGGCCAATTGGTAGAAATCGGTTAGCAGTTCTAGATCCCACGCGCCGCGCGCTCTAATGCTGCGAGTTCTCCGCTTGTTCCCACCGTCCCACATATTGATTTGGGTGCGCATCATCACCACTCCATCATCATCTGCACCATCACCAGCACCAACAGCATCATCGTCATCATCATCTTCACCTGCATGTTCAACTCCACCTTCATCTCCAGCGCCATCTTCATCATGTTGATGATCCTCCTACTCGTCATCGTCATTCGTGTTTAATATGCGTTTAATAATCATACGCTGCAAAGATCATTTGCAGCGGACCGGGAGGAATAGCAGTAGCAGCAGCTTCCAATGCGGCCATAGATCCGGGAAGACGCCTCCACAATCTGAGAATCGAGAGAGCACACCTGCAGCCCGGCGCGCAGCCCCATTGAAACTTCCAAGCCGGGGCATGCAAAAGAGCCCGGTGCTGCCCTCCAACTCCCATCAGGCTTCGGAGATCTGGTCGATCAGTCATGTTTCACAGCTTAGGTTCATGGATTTCAATGGATCGATCATGGGTGCATGGCTGCAGGACTTTGCACGGTCATGTGCTGGAACAGGTGTTTCGTGTGATCAGGCGCAGGACTCGCAGCAATAAGCTAGCTTGCCACAAGGGCTGCTGGAGTTCCGGAGCTAAACACTTGTTTAGTGCATCCTTGAAGCAGGACATAAATGCGAGGTCCCAAAGTCCCTGCGTTAGCCTGCGCTCGTCAGGTTTGTGTCCTGGCAGCATGCGGGCCACATCAAGGCAGGAGCCCTCACGACGGGTCGCTGAAAGTCAGAAGCGTGTGGCAAGTTCCTTCCGGTCGTTTCAGCACAAGTTTCTCTGCAAGACTGACTCCTTCATTGCAAAGGTGATTGTGGTGATGTGAGGGCTCAGCAAGTCGTTGTAGACCAGCGCATGACGCCTGAGCATGCCTGAGCATCAAGATGCCATGAATCGAGCATCGCTACTTACATGGATCTGCCTGGTCTTGCTCATCGACATTTCGACTGCCTTCCACTTGATAGTAGATGCACTTCTGTTCGACAGGCGGAGGGACGCACACATTCTTCCACCGCTGTCAGGGGCATACCTTCGTCGGAATGACACGTACTTCGTGAAGCGGAAGGGGTCGGTCACCCTTCTTTCACGCCACTCGACCTGGTGCTTCTCAGTTGCTGAACTTGACCTGCTTTGCAGCAGTGCTTCCACTGCAGACGTGCGCTCTGTGCAGGAATGGCTCTTCACTCCACCGAGTTGTCCATGTCAAGCAAGCGTTGGATGGCCAAAGGAGCAGCATATTCTTACGCACCGGCACGCCCAGCTCTTGAAGTGCCCTGCACGATCTCGCTGCTATTGCAAGCGTGCAGGGACATCCACGGCACGGACAATCAGTGACATTCGCATCAGCAAAGGGAAGCTGAAAGTTCCGGCGAGGCCCCCAAATTCGACTAGACCGCTCACAAAAAGTTGCCCACCTGGCATGCTCTTGAGACCGCAGGCGCGGAGAATCTTCCTGGGCTTCACAGTGAATGATGAAACGGGGCCCCTCCTGGCTCACGTTCATGAGGTGGCACCGGTGGTGGATGCGATCTTCTGGATCGAGAGCTTGATCGCCTTCAGCGGACTACCCCGAAACTCCACCTTGGAACGCATGCGCCGAAGACTAGCGCCGTACATGCATAAGATTTACCCAGTTCTGCTGTCTGGCAGTGCAGCTGAAGCTGAAAAAGCCCGCCGCGATGCAAGCGACCAAAGAAAAGACCAACTACTGGGCAACGCCGGCTGGCGTTCGGCTGAGTACATGTACAATATGGCTGGGAAGACATTGCAGTTTGATGAGCTCTTCCGAGAGCAGTTCCTCGATTCAAGGGCTCTGGCAGGGGACGATGTGCTGATCGTACTGGATGCCGATGAGGTTATAAGACGAGAAGCTCTATGGCAAGTCAGACACTGCACCGTGAGCCACTGGGCTGTGCACTTGCTTGATAAGTTTAGGTGGGTCTGTCCGTTTACCTGACTGTGTCCCCGTCTTCATAATCTTGATTCTTGATCTCTGCCTCTCTTTCTCTTTCTTTCTCTCTCTCTCTCTCTCTCTCTCTCTCTCTTTCATCTTCAAAGCCCGAATACGTCTTTACTGCTTTCAGAATGCCAAAATCACACTGTGGGCTCCTCACTTGCAACAAATTCGCAGGCTTGCCTGTGAGATTCCAACTTCGGAATTATGTCTATGACTTGCAGCATTACAACTGGCAGTTGACGCGGAGCTTCAGCTCGTATTTTCAAGAAGCAGAGTGGTCGTTCGCGACCGGCATTAGCATCCATCAGCTCACAGATCTTGGCATCGACCCGCACGCGGCTCGCTGGGCGCGGACTGCGCGCAGCGGGATCACGGTTCCGCCATCATACGAGCGCTACAAGCGTCTGCCTGAAGTGCTGCTCAAGAATGCCGGTTGGCACATGCATCTTTTCTATGGTGCAAAGCAGATCGCCCGCAAGCGAGCCATGGGCCTGCACTACAGCTTTAATCGCCGACCTTACAACCACACCCCAAGCCTGAGAGCTATGATATTCTCCGGCAGACATCCCATGCTCGGGGACTGCCTTTCTGCGGGTTTCAACACAACAAGCTGCAAGGCCAATGCCTGCGATGAGCCAGAGCTGCACCGATCATCGCGGCTAATGTGTGTCTTCACGGCACGTGAGCCACCGGAGTCCCTGCCACATCTTGTGCGTGACGATCCAGAGATGGGTCTCTGCCTCACGGACAGGCTTGCAGGTGACCTTGACCGCGTGTGCCCTTCAGATGTTCCAGACCTTCAGTGGCAATCTGATCTGAGGTAGAGGCATTTAGCACATGCGCCACCGAAGGCCACACGTACCTGAGCTACCGGCAGGGATTCGACAGTGAAGAGTTCTGCGAAAATCGCGGTCGCTGGCAGCCTTCAGCCCGAAAATCATCCAGCCCTTCCACGTCCGATGGTGACGCTGGCAGCACGTCAAGATTCACGTCGTGGAACCGGTGGCTTCGGGGAAAAGCATCGCCTTTGATTCATGCCGGTCAGGCTGGAGCTTGGCGCAGCAACTTCGAGCAAGATAGAAGCGCAGGCAAACACGTGCGCGCGGGAATGTTGATCTAGTTCTGCCCACTCCCCTGTTCACGAGGTGCGGCGCCAGCTGTGACTGCTATTGGTAAGATTGTGGCAGTTCGTGGATCCGCTCAGTTGCGGGCTTCTTCTGTACTGTCTTGAGACTTTGGATATAGTGAAACATACGACAGCGATTGCCTCAGACAGCCAGGCAGACACAGACAGACAGAGACAGATGCAGACACAGACGCACATACACACGGACACACAGACATTCCGACACACAGACACACAGACAACACACAACGCACAACGCACACAACACACACACACACATACACACGTGTACGCACACACACACACACAACCAACACACACGCAGAGAGACGCACACACACAGACACACAGACACACAGACACACAGAGACACACACACACACAGAGACACACACACACACACATACAGAGACACACACACACACACGCAGAGAGACACACACACACACATACACACAGAGACACACACACACACGCAGAGAGACACACACACACATACACACAGAGACACTCACACACAGACACACACACACACAGACACACAGACACACAGACACACACGCACACACACACACATACCCCTGCATCAGATCTGTGTCTGATCTGCTGCTCTTTCTCTGTAGACTCCATGGGACGCGAGGCTCGTTTGCATCCTCACACAGACTCAGGTTCACACTTTTGCACACCCTCCCATCAACATCCATAGCTTCGTTGGCATGGCTAGGATGTGATCGCCATGTCTTTGGGGATATCATCAATTGCCGAGGACTCTGCATCGGACGTCCATGGGGATTCTGCTGTCCTGCTGTCGAGGAACTTGGCTCCGACGATGGCATCATTGAGGGCTTTGCTCGGGAGACTGCTACACCATGCATGAGCACGAAGTTGTTCTTTGCGACGACCGAATTCCGTCTCTAGGTGAACAATCTGCTGAGAAGCTGCAGCACTTTTCTTATGCCGGTGCATGTGGAGCCACACATTCACGATTGCATCGTTCACTGGTTGATACAGTGGTGAGGGTTTTGGTGTCTTTGAGGGCAACTCTTGTGCGTGATTGGCCTTCTACCACACATACTCTCAGCGCAACCGTCAATATCAAGTTGCTACGTGCGCTCTGCAAACAATAACACCTGCGAAACGAGACTGCCTTCGCGACTGATCGTGTAGGAACAGTAAACAGGAACCGACCGTGATTGAGAAGCCTCAATGACCAATGCTGGTCCATGAAACATCAGTTCATGAACACGAATGTCCATGACGTTTCTGCCACTGAACCCACGTTTCCTGCTCCAATGAAAGGGTTCGACTTCCTTCTTAAAGGTAAAGGTGTAGTGGGAGTTGGAATCAAAGTGTTGGTCATAAGCACTGAACGAAGACGGCGGCGACGAAAGTGGCGCCCAAGACTGTTCCTGTTCCTGTGCGGACAATAGTGCCCTTGTTAAGGCGCGTCCCAAAAATCACGCATTGAATTCAGAGGAGCGAAACAAAGAGGGCCGATGCTGCCAGAACCGCTTGGTGTGTACCCTGAGCCCCTCCTGACTAGCCGCCGAAACGTGGCCATGCATCCAAGCAACGTCATCGGGAGAGGGGCGAAATAGATGGCTCAAATCAGAGAGCAGAACCGAGTCTTCGTCAAGGCCGGCAAGGCGCTCATCCGCAGTGGGCAACCTGGGGCCAAATGAAAGAACAGACTTGGCAGGAGGCGGACAGGCTTGAAAACCACGCCAATTGCCCTTGGTAATGCTCTGGTGAGCTTGTCTCTCAGGAAGTTTAAGCTCTAAGATTTGAGGCTACGTCAGAGGCGGTATGAGGTCCACACGCAAGAGGCGCCTTGAGGAACACTTAAGGTGTTGTTGACTCTGTTTGACAGAGCCATACCATCGTAGGCAGGCAAGGCATGCTGGCGACACAGTGTAGTGTCGCGAGGGACAGTAGATTCGGTGTGCACGTGCGAGATGGGCGTGTAAATGCGTCCTCAACGGGAACGAGACCCGCTTGGAGAGGTTGTCGATCCAGCTTTGGAGATCCTGCTGGAAGACCTTTTCGGCTCGCACAACCTGCTGTAACCACCAAGAGGGCTTCTCATCGTGGATGGTGAGCAGCTCACCGACTACATCTTTACCTGACAGGTAATGTGTAAGGTGCGGGAAGTATTGTTTCACACTGTCTACGTCAACTTGCAGCTCTTGCAACCACGATGACGCAGCATGCGCAGTCCAATGGTCAAAGAGTAGAGTGGGAGAGCTCGAGGGCCATGCTTGAAGAGCCTGCACAGGAAAGAGGCACGCGTATGTGCGAGGGCCAACGGGGCTGGGGCTCTTGCTGTTTGCAGGACAAAGTAAGGATGGACCTGATGCTCTGCTGACTCTCTTCGACACAAGTGTCTCCAGAGGGAGACAAGCTGTCGGTCCCAAAGGCGTTGATGGACGGCTGCGTGCATGACAAACGCCGCACTGGTGTGCACATACTTTGATATCGTGAGTGCTCTGAGAAGAGAGCGTCGCACAGATTGGTCAAAGCTATGAGAGCTAAACAATCTGCGACTGAGTGGCTTCACAGTGCCTGACGCCCTGGCAAACCTGTGATGCAGATCCGGAGCTGGAGAGCAATTAGATGTGGCAATGCCACCCAAGTGCTTGTACGCCTCCACGATGGGAAGGCGATGGTCGCCACCAAGGCCATCGACCAAAGGTAAGTGGTAGGGACCGTCTGCGAGAGGGTCAGCGTTGGCAACAATCTGGGCATGTTGAGGGCGGATCACCATAGAAGAGACGAGTGCCGCAGTCTTCTCCGGACCAAATTTAACTACCATGCCTAGCGTACGTGCGTGCGTAACCAACAGTTGGGCGCTGGCTTGAACACGACTTATCAGCTGTTCCGCATCTTCACCATTCTGGGGTAGAGCAAAGTCGTCAGCCCATGAGGGTGCACCGAAGTCGAGGGCATCAGAAGAACCTGCCCAGGGAGGGCGATCTGGCAGGGCAGGAAGGAAGGGCTGCAGCCCCGCAGAATGCAACTTATTGGAGACAGCTCTCAGATAAGCAGAGAGTGCCAGAGAACATCTGCTAACGGGTCTCCGGGGCGTGTGCCCCTGGTCGTGGCTGTCAGGATAAGCTACCATTGAGCCTAAACCATGTGCCATGTACCTGTCAGATCCTGTCAGTAGGTCGTCCACAACCGACCGCCTGAAGATGTGAACTGGCTTGGAGGTTGGGAAGTTCGGCTTAAGTGCAGCTTGCGGCGCAAATCAAGAATGGCCTCATCAGGGAGCTCAAGCTTTCGGAGTAGGTCAAGGAGGGCCGCCTCGGCACCTGTGTGTCGTACCACCAGCTGTCGCGGTACTCTGTAGTGTGCTGACTGGAGATCGAAAAAGATGATGGCCCAAGGGCGCCGGATATGGTGATGCCACAACTGAAAAGAGCGGATAGACAGAACCGGGACCTCAATGCCGATGCCCTCAACTGCTCCGGCCATTAAGGCTGGCTGAGACTCTCGGAGAAGAGGGACCAGTTGTGCCCTGATGCATCGATGAAAGGCCTTGCCAGCAACACTGGCAATTAGGATGGAACGAAAGCCATCGCACGCAAGCGCTTTGCCAGCCTTTTTGGCTAAAAGTATGAAGTCCCCCCCACGCCAAGAGACGGGTTCCCGCAGGGAGAACGCAGTTTTCATCATCACCGGTAGCAACCGGCGAGCGGAGTCAGTGGTTGAGAGCTGAGCAACTCCGCCGTGATTTGATCAGCGCCCGCAGCTTTGCCGTTTTGCAGACGAAGGATGACCTGTTCCGCTTGTGCCAAAGTGGGCACCACGCAGATGTCGAAAACACCCTGGGGAACATGTCTGTGCTGCAAAGCACTGACGTACTGCTCAGCAGTCACTGTAGTGCCGGCCTCTTGCTCAGCAAAGTGGCCTCTCCAACAGGCCTCTCGATCTGCCGAGGAGAGCACTGGCTCTCCATCAGGGCCCAGCAACATGGGCAGCGGCACTAAAGAGCTGCGTCTAGCAGATTTGGCTGTGGGGAACGCACGGCGGATAGAAGCATACAACTCAGCAGGATTGCGGAGTGTGCAGCTGGCGGCATCATCGACCAAACGTTGCAAGTATGCACGCTTGCCAGCTGCCACAAGTTCTCGGAGACGCAATCCATACCACCTGTAGAGTCCCCAGGCAACAGCTTCACTGTAATCGATGGCTGCAAGCCAGCCGGCAGCAATCTCACGGGCAGTGGGGGTAAAGCAAGCCCCTCTGGTATACTGGCAAAAGGCCGCAAAAACGATTATAAGACAGAGGCGAAGTTGTCTTTCACTTCTCTCATGTCGGAGATATCTCTGAAGAGCCTTGCGAAGCCCGATAAGGTGAAGTGCCTGTTCAGTCACATACGGTTTGACATTGATGGGCTTGGTGTGCTTTGACGGAGACAAAACCTCCCCAGCTTCGCACCAGGCAGCAGCTAAGCCCTCACAGTGTAGATCGACATCAAGGTTCCAAGAGAACCAAGGAATGCGACCGGGCGCTTGGCGCACTCTAGAGCGCTCCTCATCAGTGACAGGCCTATCAGGTCGGACCGCTTTCCGGTTACACGTCTGATAAAAGCTGGCAGGCGCTGTCTTCGCAAAGGCGCAAACAAGTTTGACCGGCCTATGGTCGGTCACGCAACTGAAGAACATCAAAATCCTCTATGACGGACGAGTCGTGGTGAAAACGATTCCAGGCAAACGGAACTAAAATGTAGTCGATGCGATGCCACTCTCCGCGTGGGGCTCGCCAGGTGCCGGAGGGACCTTTGTGACAACTGGGAAAGGTAGATGGAGCAAAAGCTCCGACTTGAAGCAGAAATGTGTGAAAAAGGTTTCCTGCGAGGAGTTCTTCCTCTGCAGCAAGATCACCAACACATTCCGAAACGGTGTCACCCAACCTAGCATTGGCATCAGCTAACAGCACACAGTCCGTCCCATCGGGTCGCTTCTCTAGCTCCCTGGCACGAGCCTGCCAGAAGTCACTAATCTCCTGTTTGGGAGCATTGTACAGTTACATCGAAGGAGCATGTACAACGAGGATGTACAAACGGAGGACAGGAGTCCGAACATTGGCTGTGATGTGCCGGGACGAGCAGGTGACAACGGTCACATGTTCTTTGGAGAATCTGAGAGGGCTGTTGCTCCGGTATGCATAAGGATGCACTTTGGAAAGCCAGAGGGCACACCCGCCACCGCCTCTAACATCGGCCTGGGCATTATAGATGAGATAATCTGTGTCAGCCTGTGCAGCAGTCTCAGGCAAACGCGTTTCCTGCAGCCCTACTATGTGCGGACAATGTTCGGCTAACATGTCCTTCAGCGCAGCCTTGCGACCAAGAAGTCGCGTGCCAACCTCCGTAGCATCGGGTCCAGAAGTACCCGGCTTTTTTGTCAAGTAAGGTTAGCGCATTGAACCCAACAATGCGCAGTGAGAAGGAAACGGCACCTGTAGGATCACGATATTTGGATGCCCTGGCTAGGTGCCTTCCATGGTGGTGCAGCAAGTTGTTGAAGTCTGTGCGCCTCGACGCGGCACATCGGTGTTAGCGGCACTGGTGGTCCAGGCCCACATACGCAAAGGATGCCGCGCAAAAGCCGGCAGCCAGTCTGACAGGCATTTCTGATGTGCATCTGTGTATCTACGTCGAGCACCTTTCGCCAGCTGGTCCAGCTCGTTACCGAGGCTACCGGAATGACCAGGTACACAAGCGTGTGCAGTGGCGAGCTCGAAGAGAGGCCGAAAGGGTGAATGGGCTTGCGCCGGGGTGCGAAACTTGGACACTTCTGAGGGGGAGCTCGAACTCTTCTTCACCTTCCGCCACCTCGCCTTGATTGCCACGGCGATTCAGGGGAACGACTACACTGGGTGAGGGACCCCATCGCCTACCAGTTCGTGACTTGGGTCAAGATCGACGAGGTAGCATAGAACACCTACGTGGGCCATGGCAGGAGGGGGGGAAAAATCTGCAAGTTGTGCCGCTATGCTGAGGGGATGTGTCAGACTGGTTTTAGAAAAAGCCACGAACGCTCCGACCCACGGTGCCGTCTACATGGGGTGACCGGACATGCCATGAAGCCCAAGCAGGAGAAGGTCCTCTTCAAGACAAAAGGGGGACTGCACCGACAGTGAGACCCAGACCGGAGCTTGGATCAATGGGCTAACTTGGAGATTCAACACAACATGCTGAAGGGGAAGTATGTGAAGCCCACGGGGGAAACCCTCAGCACGACCCAGGAAAGAACTTACGTGCGGTGCCGAAACAGGCACGTTGCCCGCTGCAAGCTGGGGGACTACGCGGACAAGCTCACCCGCATCGCCGACAAATACCGGCCGCAGATGGCAGACGAGAGCAGAGCTTTCGTCATGCGCTTACCCGAGAAGGCCGCCGAGCTCCTCCTGAAGAGGGTACGCAAGATCCGAAGACGGATCAAAGCCAAACAAAAGGGGGACGCGACAGGTGTGCCAGAGCAAGCCCCGAAGAGAGACCAGCGTGTGACAAAGGAAGTGCCAGAGCAGTCTCCACGGCAGAAGAAAAGCAAGAAATCTGAGACACAGGTGGGCACAACACAGGTGCCAGAACAACCTCAGCAGAAAGGGAAGGCAGAGCCAGAGCAGCGTGTGACAAAGGAGCGCGACGAAGATGAAGACAGCATCCCTGACTGGCAGGGCACTGAGGAGAACCCAGAGCCGGCAAACACAGCTACTGGCAGCGACTGGGGGAGCACTCTCTCCATCTGGCCCTGAAAGGCCGTCCCTCGGACAGGGGAGAAAGTGCTGGCATCCTCGGCCAATGTCCAAGTGAGCCCAAGGCAGCGCGCAGACGACAAAGTACACCCGGCGGGGGCCAGCAAGCTTTGCAGCGCGCTATACAACAAGTACAAGCACATATGGCCAGACGACGTGAAGAAAGGGGACTACGACCAGCAGGACCAGAGGTGAGCCATGAGTGAGTCGGGGGACATCTGGTCCAATTAATCCATTGCCTTCAGGGATCGGGATCGTTTCGTTGCGGTGTTTTGCTTCTGAGGTTGACCGTTGTGCTTTGCGTTTGGAAGGGGGACCAGGCAGTTCAATCATGCAGTGTTTTCCTTTCTGAGTGGTAATCCAATCCATTCCGTGAAATGCACGCTTTGATTCAACTCGTATAATCTGACAGTGGTCGGGGAGCGAACTCTTTAAACGGGCCATATGTCTGGCTCTTCTCGGGCAAATCTTTTCCAACCTGGGCCAAACCGCCCCTAATCTTCGTTTATTTTCAACGCCCCCTAACCATACCTGTCCTTCCATTCCTGGGGGAGCGGCCTTTCCAACCGGCGCTGGGCTTAGTTTGCTTGCTTGCTTTGCATGTTTTGTATTGTCACTTGCTTGATTATCGGGGGGGAAACAACAATGATCAGCCGCTTCGAATATCGTACAGCTGAGCTCCTTTCCGCGAACTGGAAAGGGGACTATTCCTTCCATGAACCGCAGGAGCGCGTTCGCGCGTGGGGTGTGGGGTTGGACCACCCTGCACCTCTTGCCTGGTAGAGAGAGAGAGAGAGAGAGAGACAGAGACGGACAAGGCGAGGGAAAGGTACAGAGGCAGGGGCAGGGACAAGGACAGAGACACAGACAGAGAAAGACACAGCCATCCAGCCAGGCAGGCAGGCAGGCAGCCAGCCAGCCAGCCAGCTCGCCAGAGACACACAGACACAGAAACAGACACAGCACGGACACAGAGACTGAAACGGACACAAACACAAGCATGCACACACATACACACACAGACAGACACACAGGTACACAAGCACACACACACACTCACACAGGGACAGAGACACAGACGCAGACGTAGACGCAGACGCAGACGCAGACGCAGACACAGACAGAGACAGACAGACACAGACAGACAGAGACAGACACGTACACACCCAGACAGACACACACACACACACACGCACGTTCGTACAGATATCATGTGGGATAGCATTTATGGGTTGAATTTGGATGGTTGTCGTCTCAAAACAGGAACGATCATTACAATATCACGATGTACAGCGACGATGGTGAAGATGACGTTTTCGGCGATGACCGTGAGTTGCTAGACTGATGTCCTTCTTGTCCTTTTCATCGCTGGCTTCATGTCCTTCAATCAGGCTGGCAGGTGGAGTGGCCCAGCTGTTGTCGAAACCGCAAAACTTCGACGGAGACACCTAAACTTCCTGTCCGCGCAGAAACTCAAGATACGCATCAGTTTACTTGGCAGCTTCGCTAGGCACTGTGCCCCATTGCGCTCGAGTTGCTGCGACGTGGCCACGAGGATGGATTCAGCGTGCGGTTGGACGGTCTTGTGGTGGTGAATGCAGGGATGTGCAATTGGTGGGGCAGTGGAGCACTAGATCACCACTCGCCTGCAGGTCAAGTTCGTGCTGCATGAGGAGGCAATGAAACATTTTGGGCAAGGACTGTAGATGTCTTCGAACGCAGTGTACACCTCTCCCGACAATGTACATTTGCGAAGTGTGGGACTGGGTGTAATGTGATTGAAGCCCCGCGAGGAAATCGGGAATTAGCACAAGATTAATTCTGATGCGTCCAGCCTGGAAGCGAACCCTCAAATGAGTTCAATCAACTCAGTTCTGGCAGCCCTACCGGGTGGTTGGGGAAAGTGGATAAGATGCTACCTACACACTCTTTCCCCCTGTTCATGTGCTGATAGTCTCGATCCGGGCCCACCCCCTCATTGAGCCTGGTACTACTGATTGCCGACTTATTCGCTAGGACATAATTCAATACCGAAGATGATGAACCACTCAACCATTTCAAGTCCCCCTGCTTTCAGGTTTTGTCGCTTCTTCCGGCGCCATTGACAGCTTTGAGTGCAGGGTTCGGACCCCGGAGCCCTTCAATCAGACAATTCCGAGGGGACATCCCCTCATCGAAATCATGCAGCGGCTTAAGATTGGATCAGACTTTAACAGACGTGCAAACAAGCCCGTGAGGACAGACATGCCCAGTCTGTGCCTTCCGAATCCTCTGAGCTCTCCCTGTACCTGCGCAGACGAGACACAGCTGTCCTGTCACGGGCAACAAGGCGATTCCTAGCTTTTTGGAATCGTGGACGGAAGTGGCTCAGCTCCTGGCACGCTCTCGCATGTCTGTTTGGTTGGCTCCCAGTAAATTTCTTGTCTGGTCCACTCACGAGCTCAGCATTCAAGTCTCTCTGGAAAAGTGTTGAGCCATTGCTGTCCGCAGCTCTCAGGCCGCTTCCTTGGTCGGGCTCCAAGCTGGCAGCCAACATGGATTGTGATGCGGAAGACCCGCAGGAAGTGGCCTCCATCCCAGTGCGGTCTCGGCACGGAGCTGCAGCCAAGCTCTCCAGTCATGGCAATGGGGAAAATGATAGCATCATATGATAGTACCAAAACAGCAGCCATCGAGCTTAACATCGTAGTAGTCGCAGTAGCTGTAGTAGTAGCCGCAGCAGCAGCAGCAGCGGCAGCAGCAGCAGCAGCAGTAGCAGTAGCAGTAGCAGTACTGTAGCAGTAGCAGTAGCAGTGGCAGTGGCAGTAGCAGTAGCAGCAGCAGCAGCAGCAGCGGCAGAGCAGCAGCAGCAGCAGCAACAAAAAGAGCAGCAGCAGTCGCAGTCGCAGTCGCAGTCGCAGTCGCAGTCGCAGTCGCAGTCGCAGTCGCAGTCGCAGTCGCAGTCGCAGTGCCAGTGCCAGTGCCAGTGCCAGTGCCAGTGCCAGTGCCAGTGGCAGTGGCAGTGGCAGTGGCAGTGGCAGTGGCAGTGGCAGTGACAGCAGCAGTAGCAGTAGCGGTAGCGGTAGAGGTAGCAGTGGCAGCAGCAGCAGTAGTAGCAGTAGCAGTAGCAGCAGCAGCAGCAGGAGCAGCGGAGCACTAGTAGTATCAGCAGCGCGATGCAGCCGGCATTGTGTTGCACTCCTCCTCCTGATTACTCGCATGCCGTCGCGGCAGGAGCAGCGGGGTAATCGTTGTCATTATTGTCGTTTCGCCTACTACTCACGACTCACTGCCATACTGTGGCAGCAGCTGCTGGAGGAGACATGCTCGTGCTCATCATCATCATCGTCATCATCATCATCATGACCATCATCACTGTCCTTTCCGTCGTCCTCGTCACCATCTTCATCTCATCAGCTTGAGGCTTGACCCGGATTGTTTGCCTGCACGTGCCCTTGATGTGCGGCCCACAGAGGTCCTGGGACAAGGAGCGCCACTTCCGACAGTCTTTGTGGGCGCGGGCTCTCAGAGAATCGACGTTGAAGCTAGTCTTCGACATCTCGGTCAAAAGACCCTCCCCTATACCCAAGGATCTCTCGGACACATTGTTTCTACCGGAAGTGTTTTTGTTTCCTCGCAGCCTCATAGGTGTAGAATCACACTCACATGTTGCTTTCTTGAGTCCCACAAAGTAAGCAGTCCAGTGTTCGCAGGATTTCTCACCGTCGTCGTCAGATCTCCGGTTCTGATTACGTGGGTCTGTGTCTCGAGTATAAACTCTGCACAGATGCCGGTGACTTCGCGGAAGTCGGATCGGAACGCCAATTCGTGTGATGTTGCACCGTTCGGCACAGTGCGCTTGAACTTGTCCGGCTCCTTTACGAGCGGCCTGCATGACCGCAGCTGCTGCAGCTGTCCCTGGCTTGGCCCGTCGAAGCCTCTCGCACGACCTGAAGCCCGAATAACAACAAAGGCAGCACAGAGGCACGACACTACTTGACTCGTGTTCGCTGAGTGCCAAAGGATCCTTCGCCGTCCGACCCTGCCGAGCAGGACCTGAGTTCCTAACCAGGTTTGCTGTCCGGGGTAATTGAAGCTGCCAGGGTCTTTTGAGGTAATTGACTGCTTCTTTCGGCTCCGGTTACTGTGAATACAAAACTCGCGTGACAGCAGCAAGCGGCAAGAAGGCTTCCAAAAGCCTTGCAACCGTTAGCTCTGTCGGCTCTGTTGTTCTGAAAGTCTGATTGACGGACCAATGGCCAAATTCGAGTCTGTAGCTGGCCCTCCAAACCTATCTTCAGCATCGTTATGATGTGTTGATGTGTTGATGTATTGTCCTCATGAGTCAAAGCTTCAGTTTCCGCGAACCTAGCCGCCTCGTCGCTAGTCTTTCTTGTGTGTCCTGCCTCCCTTCATTGAGTGCCGATGTGCCGACCGAAGCCAGGACAAGAATGCCTCACGAAAGGCCGGGGTTCCTTTTCACGCAAGTCTGCAAGTCTGGATCGGCAGTGTGAGGGTCATCTTTCTGCGGAGTTGCGGAGAAGCCGGGGAGTGCCTCTCTTGTTGGCATTGCCCCGTCTATTCCTTCTGTGTTCTTGGCGGTCGCATTGTCTTGCTGAAGGCAGAGCTCTCCGAAGAGTATTTCAGCGGCAGTCAGCAGAGCTTGCTCTCAGGTGGGCACAGTCTCAGACACATTGACGGTAAGGTTCAGCAATGAAAAGCGTTGCTTGCAGAAGTTTCTTCTGCAGCCGAGTTGAGATACTGCTGTTAGCGGCTTGTCAAAGTTCTTCTGATTATCAATAATTACAGTAGCGCTTTCGCATACCCCTTCCACGCGCTCGCACCCGACAGTCACGTTCCTTGGCGGCAAGGTGTCGCATGCTAAGGCCATTGTCTTTAGTGCCGTTGCCATCATGCTTATTGGCGACATGGTGATTACACAGAGTATTTCGCAATATTTCGCCATTCTCACGGCGATGGAGATCATCGCCGAACAGAACAGCACGACTGCAAATGATAGTTTGAGCACTTCTGCGAGTGACTACCAGTTTGACTGCCAGCATAGTGACTCCCGTTGGTACCTTGAGTCGTTGTTGATAGCCCTTGATGGCCTCGGCTCAGTATGAAGACTGTACTCCAAAAAATGCCACAGTCTGATGACACCGGCACCGGCACCACCACCACCACCACCACCACCACCACCGCTACTATCACCACGACTACTGCATGCTGCTGCTGCTGCTGCTACTACTACTACTACTACTACTACTGCTACTCCGCACCATTACTGCTGCTACTACTACTACTACTACTCCTACTACTACTACTCCTACTACTACTACTGCTACTCCTCCTCCTCCTCCTCCTCCTCCTGCTGCTGCTGCTGCTCCTACTACTACTACTACGACGACGACGACGACGACGATAATTAAGTACTTGCCCTATTCCTTAAACCCTAAACCCTTAGGGTAAACCTTGAATCAGGCAGCCGAGGATGTTCTGGGTCAGCGTGGCAATGGCCGACTGCCAGCGCAAGGGCACCAGGACCAGACGGTTTAGTGTTTAGTGCGGGCTTAGGGCTTTTAGGGCTTAGTGTCTTGAGGGATTTAGGGTGTTGGAGGTTTGGGAGTTTGGGAGCTTAGAGTTTAGTGGTTTTGGGAGTTTTCGGGGTTGTGGGTTGTGTCTTTAGGGTTGGAATTTCTGGTGGCTTTGGGTTTGGGGTGTTCATGTAGGGGCCTTAGCAATGAGAAAGCCTCACCCCAGAAAGCCCAGACTCTCACATGGAACCCTTCAACTTGCCCTTAGCCACGAAACCGGAACCCTATAAAACCCGAAACCCTCAACCCTACAAACCCCCTGACTTGTAAGACTGCAAGCTTACAGCCTCTCATGCGAGACTTAAACCGCAAGCCCTAAAGCACCTCCAAGCTCTTAGACCTAAGCGACAAAAAGCCCTAAACGCCCTCATCCCGCCCCAAAACCCCCTAAACCCCCAAACCCACCTCCCCACCTGAGTTGACAAACCTTTCGGTGCCACGGGAGACGGCTCCGCACATTCGGCGGCAAGGCAGCGGGCCTCTAAGGAGGAGCCTCCAGCATTTCTAGGGTTCAGTTCAGGTTTAATATAGGGTAGGGTTTTGGGGTTCCTTTAAAGGGTCCTTTAATAGGGTTCTAGAAGGGCTACTACCAGGGTTTAGGGTTTAGGGGCCTTCATAATTAGAATAGGGTTTTGAGGCCCAACAAACTATAATTACAATAAGGAACCCCCAAAATGGCATTGGAAATGATTTAGGCCCCTACACTAGGGCTTTCGGGTTGAGGAAAGCCGTCGGGCCAAGAGGGTCAGGCTCTTAGGGCTTTTAGGGCTTGAGGGTTTTTAGGGATTCGGGGCTTTGGGCCTCCAGGGATAATGGGTTTGGGATATTCTCTTAGCACCTCGGGCATTTCTGATTCGGCAGGGTTGCTTGGAATTCTTGACAGCAGTGCTACTCAAAACTTCTATACAACCCAGTGTGCAACCGAAACAAAGAGCACCGAACACATAAGCTGAATCTCACGCCGCAAACCTGAATCTTTCCCTGCACCCTAGCGTTTACGCACAATCAGGAAGCACAGCCGACTGTCCTAAAGGCCCTAATCTGCAAACGCTAGCTTTGTAATCTGCAGGATCTAGGAAAATCGAGACAAACCAGAATGTGTTGAGTAGCACAGGGCGACGTGAATTGCAAAGCCACATGCGCTGCATCTCTTCGTCGAACTGCACTCGGCCAAGCCGTGAACCCCGAAGACCCTAAACCCTAAACCCACAGGTCAGGCACAAATCGTATGCCGCCTACACCCGAAACCCCATGCCCGAAACCCCATGCCCGAAACTCCAAAACCCTAAACCAAAACCCTGTACCCCTAAACCCCAGACTGCAAACCTAACCCCCTAAACCTTACACCCAACTTTCTTCTCTCAGGACGTGCCTTGGGAGTCGTTGTCCATCGATCTGGTGCTACGGCCCATCGTCAGGCAGGTGGACCAACCGGGGCGATGAATCGGGGCTGCGCTGCTATCATAGGTTATGGGGTTTCACAGGGCTTTGTGACAATGTGAGTGTCGAAGGATTTCAGTTTAGAGTTTCGGGTTTGTAGCCACAGGTGTGAGAGTTGGCTGAGACATGTCAAACTGTTCGTGATACCACTTTTCTTATCTCACCGATAGCTCCCGCATCACAACAGCTGCAGGAACACTTGTGCGGGCTCAGATGCACAACGTGAACCCGGTCGCACATAATCTTGCATGCACTCTGTCCCACCCCGAAACCCTAAACCCCTAAACCCCTAACCCCTAAACCCTAACCCCCTAAACCCCTAAACCCTAAACCCGTAACCCTAAACCCTTATACGCTAAACCCATAAGGCGTTTGGGATTTGCTCAGAATCAAAGCTTCAATGCGAAAGGAGGCCCTGAACCCCAAGCGGGCCCCGACCCCACAAACCTAAAACCCTAAACCCCAAAACCCCAAGTGCTACGGGTTTAGGTTTAGGGGTTTGGGGTTTGGAGTTTTGGGGTTAGGGTTTAATGCTAAACCCTAAGCCCTAAAGCCCAAACCCTGAGCCATCGTCACGTAACCCTGCAGCGCGGAACTTCGGCACTCCCTGAGACCCGAATTCAATGTCCCAAGCCCGAACCCCCTGTGAAGCCTACACCCTATACCCTAAAGTTTAGGGTTTAAGGTTTAGGGCTTAGGGTTTCGGGTTTACCCTAAACTTACATAAGTTATCATAAGCCTTTAGGGTAGGGATCCACATGAGGACAAGTTTGCTCCTTTTTTCTCTGCCGGGATCTCAGCTCGCTGGCAGGAAGTGCTCCTGAGCTGAGTCGGAGAGTAAAAGGCTGCGCCTGCGAAGCACAGGTGCTGGAATCTTTTAGAGGTGAGGGCATTGGGATAAGAAGCTTAAACCCTAAACCCTAAACCCCTAAACCCTATACCCTCAAAATTTATGGGTTTAGGGTTAAGGGTTTATGGTTTGGGATTCCTCGCAGAGCTGAGATTCAGGGGTGCAGCTGAGAGCAAACTCTGGGCTTCTCGCGCCGTGGAGGGCTCCCTATGCCCAGCGGGATCGAGTCAACGCCGGGGCTGCGAAGTCCTCGTGGCAACTAGCAAGTATTCTGTCTACGCCTGTTCGACAAGACCAGACTATGCCAAGCAAGGCACTTATAACGTATATTAGGGGACTTGTACTATCATCCCACTTGTATAACTGCCCATGAACCTCCAAGAACCTCACAGGCCATGTCTGCAGAAAATAGAAAACTCATCGGAGCGCTTCCCGGACGAGTACTTGGAGGTGGATGGGTAGTGATATAACTGGGATGACAAGTCCCCTTATATACATATATATATATATACACACACAGAGGTATGTATGTATATATGCATATGTGTATATATATATATGGGATATAAGCCTACTTCTAACCCCTACTTACAACCACCTGTGAAGCCCCAAGTAGACATTAAACGATGAGGCTGGCACGAGGACTCGGGGCTTATAGGCTTATAGTGGCTCGGGATGAGGGCGCAGCAACATCTTTCGATCATGCTACATCTACGGCTGATGCGCAGTGAAGCATTCTGCGAGTGGGATCCGAATCCTGAAGCTTCAAGACAGGAACCCGAGATCTCTCAAAGTACTTCTGCTATCTGTATCTGCACAGAAAGCCCGAAATGCTGCCGGTGCAAGCGTGACGGGCTGGCGTAGTAAACGAAGAAGGCGGTGGCAAAGGAAATCTGAGCAATGTTGGGCCTCAGACTGCCAAACTTTTATGCAGCTCTGAATTTCAGGATCAAGGTGCTGCGTGTGTTTGGGAGTCCCAGCAAGTCTGTGGGGCACGATCTGCAGATTCACGGCCATACGCGGGACCGGACAGCAGTGACTATCCGTTTTTTTGCTGCAGGCTTCAATCAAGGAAAGTGTTGGAAGTACAGTCCACAGGCTTCAATTCAGGCGATGCTCTAATGCAGTCTTTGCTGCTCTCTCCTCTGAAGCATCCCAGCTCAGACGAAACTGTTCAATGCGACCAGCCACCTTTGCAGGAGAGTGATGTAGTCATCGACACCGCCATGGGTCAGGTCCTGCACGTCCCCAAGAGCATCGACGCCCGAGTCGAGAAGATACGAGACCCAGGTGCGCCAATGGCGATCTTCCCAGCTGTCCTGCAAGGCTGCCCAGTAGCCGCAACCTGTAACCAGCCGCGCCGTTGCGGCAGTTGAGATTGGAAGGATCGCTGGCAGAACCGACAAAGTAAAGTAGTTGCCCAGGCCCCCTTCCGTTGAACCGGTCTCATCATAGCACGCTTTGTCTCTTGAGTATCTGCCATCCGTGAAAGACCAAGCTTGCTCCCAAGCTTGCTGCGCCTCCAAAGTCGTCTCTTGAATCCTGTGCTTAGCTTCTGAATGAAACCACCAGCTCATCACCATGCGCATCATATTTGCACATAGGCCTGCGATGGCAAACGTCACAAACAGAAATGGTATACTGATGTAGCAGTATGCGACGAGTGCCGGCAAGATCAGAATGAATAGTGGACCAACACCGAAAAATGCATAGATTTCGTTCCACTGCATGGTCGCCCTGGTCACCCATCCAACTTTCGTTTCCCAGTGATCGCGTCGCTCCTCGCGAGACGACGTCGGATCCTCGTGCAACTTGAAGAATGCCATGGAGTCTGCCACGAGCCCTTGAGAACCCACCAAGCACCCACACGAGCTCGCATTCGACGAGCTTCCGGCCACCATGAAAATGGCGTTGGCTTGCTGCCAGCGCGTGAGGCTCTTGCTAGTGACGATTCCCATGGTGAGGACGACATCTGCTTTGAACGCCCAGATCGCGGGAACAATGACGAAGACCAAGATCTGTATGGGCTTGTGCCAGGCCTCCTCTTTCCCGGGTCTCGGTGGGCCAAAGATTAGTGCGAAGACGAAAGGCTTCACGAGGCTGGCTACGAACTGCAACCATACCGGCATGCGGACCCTGAGGCCGGCTGCTTTTGAGAGTCGCTCGCTGAGAGCCGTACCATCGCCCTCAAGGCGGCGCGGCTCGAACGCGCGCACGCCAGGCTGGCCGGCCATCCAAA